CCGAGGGGGGGGGGTTACGGGACTCGCGCCGTCCATTTGTTTCCATGCCATTTGAGGACAGTGAGCTGTCTTGGCAGGAAAACAAATGGGTGGAGCAAGTCGTGACATCATTTGTTTACATTTGGCTGGGCCTGTGGCACGAGTTCGGTGGTAGCTGTCGGGTTGGCGGGCCTTTTTTGATTTCGGCAAGTTGGCGGGTGTCGTTCATCATGATTGACGTTGGATTATATTGCTGGATGATGTTCTTGCCCTTTGGATTGCATTGTTAGAGCCTTTTTATTTATTTATTTTTTTAATAAAGGACTTGTCAAAACCTGTCTTTTGTTTTGGTTCAATTAACCCCTTAGTGACACAGCTTCAGGGAGCATTTATGCCATTTTTGCTATGTGTTTGTTTAACCATCATTTCCATCTTCCTCATACACTACACCCATAATATATAAAGTTTTTTAAAGTACAAAATGGGCTTTCATTTGATGTGACATATGTACTGTATATGTTATGTAATTGTAAAAAATACAACAAAATGCAAAATACATTTTAAAAATACACATTTTTCACAGCTTTGGCAATAATAATGTGTACATAAGAAGTGTAGCTAACAGAAAGTAATTTATGATAAATTCTTTTATTTGTCCTGATTTATAGGGTACATCATATGTCTGTGATTTCAGTTTATTTTGGCAGTTACTGTATATGTCACAAAATACAAGGAGTAAAATACTATTTTTTTTAATGTGGTATGTTTTTCTCCTATCTTTAATAGCCTCCTGGGCACTATATTTTCTTATTAATCTTTTTATGAATTTTTTTTTAAAAATTTACTTTTTAAAAACTTTTTTCCTTTTTTAATTTTTTTTATGTTAAAAACTTTATTTATTTTTTTTTACATTTTTTTTAACTAGGGCGCACTAAGGGTTTTTTTTTTATTTACAGGGACTTTGATACATAGTATTTCTGAGTAGAATACATTATTCACCTCAGAGATACTTTGTATCACTTTTGTAACACAGCCGGCTGGCTGTGTACAACACACAGTGAGCAGCTGCTGGTAGTGTGACTGTCACAGCTCTGCGAACTGTGACCACCTAATCTGCTGTTGAGGGTCTGCCTCGGACCCCAAGGGACCCATCAACAGCAGTAACTCAGTGAGCTGCTGGTCCCTTTCACGGAACGGCGCTCATTGTACCGATTGCTTGAATTATTATTTTTTTTTACATTGGGGCCCCCCTAACATTTTTTCCAGACTTAAAGGGTCTGGTATGATTTGAGAGGGGGCCCCCGCGCTGTTTTTTTTCTTTTTAAACTGACATTTTTTCATTCTGTATGATACCCCTGAGGTAGTGAGCATAATGATCATGCTGAATGCTGAGCCAAGCAATCGGCTATTCACTCTCTGCCTCTGTTTGGTCCCTTTGAGAAAAGGGGGGAACAGCAGTGAATGAAGTGCCGAACGTTCGCCCCAGCCAATCCAGATGGTGCATCTGCTGAGGCAAACGGGATCCTCCCTTCGGTTCAGCCGAACCTGCTGAGACTGTTCAGCCGAACCAAGGGAGGTGAAGTGAGCTGAGTGCAGCCTATTTATGGCTAAAAATAGCCATACATGGCTACAGTGAATACCTGAAGAGGCTTCGGCTCACTTCACTTTGGTTCGGTTATTTATTCGGCAGCTTAGTGAATAACCCACTAAGTATGGTAGTTGTTTGTGGTGGGAGCCTGCAGTTTTAGCTCCAAAAATAAATGGGGATTTTAAACAAAGCACACTTTTAGGACATGCATCCGCTTGTTCCTAATACTTATTCTCATTCAAAAATGTAATGTATTTGTCTCTCCCAAACTTAACTCTTAATCTACCTAAAATGAACCATTTGCACTTACACCACCCCTAATAATTAACCCTTAAACTAACCCTGAAAATTATTTCTTAACTGGCCTAAATTATAAAATAACCCATTATGTCCCAAATGCCAAATGCATCTTAACCTCTACTTATTCCTACACTTGGGAATGTATTTACAAATGTTATTAGCATATTTTCTTTCCAGGTTGAAAGTAATATCAGGAAAATACTGCATTATGGCCACTAGATGGAGCTGAGGGGCGTAGCAAATAAATACTTTGAATGTCAGAAACATCTGAACTCAGTCATTTGGAGGGGTGTCTTATAGTGTACCACATTCCAATACACAAATATAACACTGGCAGATTAAATATTAGCCATACTCTAATAATCTGGTTAGTAAAGGCATCCACATATAAAAAAATTACACCAAACAAACTTCACATTTCATGTTTTTTTGTTATTATTATATTTGCAGACGTCTCACTAGTCATCCAGAAAATATCACATTGCTCACATGGCTTGGAGGAGACTTGGAGTATACAGATATTTCTGATGAACTCCAACCGTACACAACATATGAATACTGCATCACAGCACAGAATAGTGTGGGTTCTGTAGAAAGCCCTTGGTCTTCAATTCGGACAATGGAAGCTGCTCCTGAAGACATTCAACCGCCCACTGCAAAAGCCACAGGTGCTTATTCCTTCTTTCTAAGTTGGGCGGCTCCATCAACACCCCATGGTATTATAAAGAAGTATGTAATCATTTATGGTCTGGGAACAAGTGATCCAGCTTTCATTAACTTCACCAAAGCATGGCTGACTGTACCGGTAAGATATATTTTGTGTATTTGGCATATACTAAAAGTCACTTTATAGTTATAATTATTATACTATAGCTAACATTGTTCTGATTTTGATCAGAGGTTTTCTGTGAGTCATTACTACCCCAGTGCTGCATTATTTTGTATATCAAATCAATACAATGCTGCTTTAAGGGGGTCCACTGAGCTGACCCTTCCTGAGAGAATAACCAACTGGCCTGGTTAGGTTTTCTGACCATTTCCTACTATTTGCCCCAAAAAGTGTGGAAAGTGTCTACTTTCGTATATAGGCATAAACAAGCCATATGCCAAGCATGCATTTAATGTCCATAGGGAGCTTTCCCAAGGAGACACCTACTTGGTTGCTTCACTCCACCACCATCCCAAAACATGAGTTCCACAATTCATGACCTTATCTTAACCCATGCCTTTCAGGACAGATCCAGCTGTGGCAGAATTTTGGACACACTAAGAGAGACAAAGTTAAGGAAGAATTCCTTCTCTTTCATGTCTAGTTTTTTTCTCAGCTGGACTCATTTTGGGGTTTTCATTTTTTTCTTTATTTTTATCGTGATAGGGATTTTTTAAAGTTTGGGCTGCTTTAAAGCGGTGTATTCATTTGTTGCTGCCCATTTGTTCTTTTGGCTGCTTTTTGTACGCAGCATGTTGCTGCACTGTTTTAAAGGAAAAAAATTAAGTGCAAGAACAGTGTTCAACTGAACCACCTCACCAAATATCAGTCACATTCAACAGAATACACCTATCCCATAGTTGAACTAAAAGACAGGTATACGCCAGTTATACCTATTATCCTTTATTTAAAGGGGCCATGTGTTGGCCAGTTTTACATGCTTGTGTCTTCTGCAGTATCCCAATTCTTGTAGTAAAGCCCCAGTCTGTCCTCTTTGTCTCTAGTAAATTTGGGCCTAGACTTGCTCATTAAATCTGTACTGCTGCTGGCCACTTTCACACTACAGTATAATCTGCAGCCTCTTAATTTTACACTGATGTATCTGTATGATGTATCTTGTTTTTTCTCTAAATTCTTAATGAGAGCTTGATACAAACTGGCCAGTGATAGGAGTTTATCATCAGCAGAGGGCTATCCCTGCACTGCAGGGGTTAACTGCTCAATTGTCTCTAGAGCAGTGGTTCTCAACCAGTGTAACCTCAAGACCATGATTTGTCCTCGGTCATTAAGTGGCGACCCAAGTTGGAATGCACGGCAGTGTGAGCTGCTGCCCTGTGACAGAGCTCCATCCCTATGTGCATTGCTTTTACAGTTCCCATGTGCACCTGTAGAGGTTCCCGCGAGCCAGAATGTGATGTCACTCCAGTCCAGGCACCGCTACAGGACATGCGAGGGAGCTATAAGCAGTTCACGAATTAATGGAGCTCCCTTGCAGCCATACCCCCAGTGCACCCCACCTCAAGTTGACACTAGGCAGCATATTTTGAATGGCTGCTCAGCGTGAGAACTGACAGTGCAGATTTACCACTATTACGCAGGAGCTAACAAGCCCATGTGTTATAACATTTGGAGGTGACGGGTTCTCTTAATTGAACCTGTCACCTCCAATACAGAAGTTCTAGCACAGCACTGTGCTGGAACTCCTGTGACAGGTGAGAGGGGAAGAGCACAGCTGTCCCCTCTCACTGTCTACACGGAGCTCTGTTCATCGCTCTCCATCCTGAGGACGTCGGCGTCCAGTGAGCAGAGAACGGAGTCGGGAGACGAAGCCAGGAGGACGGAGCCAGCATAGAGAGGTAAGTGCAGGGCAGCGAAGGGGGTGGGGGGAGGACGGACAGGCTGCAGTTTAATTACAAGTCACCTCGGCAACATCGAGCTAGCTAGCTTGTGCAAAGCAAACAAATTACCGCCCGGCGCCCAGAACTCCATGTTCCGACCGTCGGGTGACTTCAAACGTGTGCCGCCCCTCTTCTCCATGCCGCCCTGAGGGCGGGCCTCGGTGGCCTTGCCGGGAATCCGGCCCTGGCTGTGGGGGAGGCTAGGGGGAGTCTGATGATCCTCTCACCTAGAAAAATGGAAGGCATGTGGCGACCCACTGAACACGGGGTCGCGACCCACTTTTGGGTAACGACCCACCAGTTGAGAACCAAGGCTCTAGAGTGTAAAATATATCTATAATATCTATATAAATATATCTATACCTCGGCTCTGTGCTGTGCATTACCTCAGTGTCCGTTTTATCCATTATTTATTCTGAACAATGTAACTGGCCATTCAGAAGGCTTATCCCTCCATAAGTGATTTTAGTTTGGCAGAGGTTTAGCTGCATTTTTTTCTGTGTATTTCCTGCCCTGGATACTGGAATAAGGGAATAAAAGAGTTTCATAGTGCCAAGAATTGAGTTGTGATTGAACATGAATTAAGATCTTGGCTGGTTTTCCTCTCCGCATTTATGAAGTCTGAACACAAAATGCTAAGTCTATAACGTGTGATAAGGAAGTCTGATTTCACATTGGGATTGCTAAATGATTCCACCCAGCCCAGTGGAGAAATGTGGATTAATGTGTCATACAGGGATGAATCAAATGTCTCTTATAAGGATATAGGAACGTCGCTGGTTCATATTGCTGACATTTGTCATTTATTTAAAAGAACATCATGGTTTTGTTGATGCTTGTTAGATATACACGTGATCAGCTTTTTTAACATAAACTTATCAATTTGTATTAACATTTAAACACCTTTTTCCTATGCACATTTGTGTATGTGTATATATATATATATATAAAACACATAGTGGTAGACACATTTGCTTATCTTATATGCAAGCTGGGCTTAATGCTTAGTAGTTGTGCACAATGCTTGAAAAGCATTCTGGGCTTCCTGATATGAAAGCCAAGCACTACCTTTTGTTTTTTTGCAGTCGGCATGAACATCCTAACTAAGATGGTAAAGTGACCCTATCTCCAAGCTAAATTCTGAGCAGAAAAGCCAACACTTCTGAGAGTATCGATCTCCTCGGCCCCCTTCCATCTCACTGGTGCCTCCTTTTGATCTTCATGTCACTACTGTCTCCTTTAATGGGTGGGGGTCAGTAGGGGGGTTAGAGCTGCAAGGGTCTCAGGGGTTCATGCCAAGTGAAGCAGGAGTACAGAAGCCAGTGGATTAGCATAATAGCCAGGAAAAATATATTTTCAGAAGGTGGTACGCAGTGGCAGCCATTATATCCCTCATGGTAAGATTTACTTTGAGTAATACAGAAATGTCAGCTCCCTGCCCGTGAACCTGCTGATTGGATAATGAAGAAGTAGTTGCACATTGATCCCTAGCGTTCATACTGTACTTACATTCTGGTAAGCATGTTCCTATAAGTATGTTCACACTGAAAGTGTTGTGCTATGCAGTAGAACCTAATTGGGTCATGCTGCTGACCCATTCATGCAGGGCATTACAGAAAGCTAATATAAAGACAGATTTGAGGTGCTTACACTAGTTTTATTGAGAAACACGTGTAATTATTTTTTCCTATAACTCAAATAAAGATTTTTTTTCAATTTCCCTGAACTTCACCTTTACATACACATTGCACACCTAGCACAATATACAATATGGAAGACGCCAGACACAGGCAACAAGATCAGGAAAGGCCCCTGTCCAACTTAGAGCCGAGATTCTTTTGCCATTGAAGGGCTTGTTACAAGGAAATCATACACAAATGACTAATTTTTTTATGGTTCATGGACAGCTAAAGTGAAATTCAGCAGCTGTTCAGGACAAGTGACCACTCTAACGGCTATATTATAACCTCCTAATAGAGAGGCGATTGTGCTAGAGCACGAGGTGAGCTGTGATTATCGGCAGGTGAGTGCTTTATTGAAGTTGAAAAACCATTAACATTGATAGAGTAATTATTTCAACTTGAAAGTAATTACCTCAATGGGTGATAACCACTCCAGCGTTCCGTGATGTGATTGGCCGATGCCGCTGTCAGCCCTCGCTGCTTAAGAAAATATTACTACAAAGCTGCTATGTTTGAACTAGTAAATTCACAGTAAGAACGCATTGCTATAAAATAAAATGATTTCAGCCTCGGCAAGTTAATTTCCCACTTTATTCCTCGCATAAATCCGACACTTTCCTCCATTTAGTCCTATTATGCCGTTTGCGTGCTGGTTAAACCCTTTTTGTAATATTTGTTTAAGATGCATCTGCTGTACATCAATAATTCACACACAGTTTTTATTTTTATTGTTGTGGATTTAAGCAGCAGTTGGAGGATTTTGTGACTTTTCATGGTGTGTGTCAGGCTAGGTTAACCGATTAATCGCTTACTACGCTGATCCAAGTCACAATAAACTGATTGAATAGACAACAGAAGAAAAGACCTAAAGCTAAAGTGACCGTTTCCTTCGGAGCAAACTGCATTGTAATGTGTAACCACAAATAACTGTGCAAATTGCAGCATTGCTCAGTCATGTGCGGTTAGTTGTGGTGAAACAAATGCACAGCGTGTCATATTTTCAGGGCTCAGTCATGGGGGTTCCACAATCAGTTCACCTTGGTTAAACTTTAAGTGTGCCTTAAGGTTGATCAATTTAGATACAAGCGATTGCAAACTTGCAAACTATCATCAATTGAAATGTAAGATGTAACACACGTGGTATTATTTCACATTACGCAATCTACTGAAAATATTGGTTTCTTAATGTAAGCAATCTATTAAAAACTATCATTTAATCATTATCAACTATTATCAGTTCTCCAGCACTTGCAGATTTTTGTTCCATTCATCAGAAGTGACGAAATTCCTCCATGGCAGACAGGGCCAAATTTACTCTCTCAGCTGCCCCAATGCCAGGTTCCTCAATGCGCCCCCCCCCTCTGTATGCAGGCTGCATACAAGTGATCTTGGTGGCATCGCCGAAATCACTTGTACAAAACAAGGGTCAGCTTCCCTGCTGTACTTTTAGCCCTGCTTGCCCAAAGCAGGGCTAAATGTAAAAAACATCTACCCGCCCTGCGCCCGGAACTGCATA